GGGTGGGTTCCTCATGGATGCGAACTTACCTTGTTCAAATACGTAGTGAGACCATCCGCCTTTTCCCTGTCGCAAAGAGTGTTTCAATTGATGTTATTCATGAGACGGTATCGGGGGAAATATACATATAGAGCTTATCGTGGGCTGTACTCACAGTACCTTTGTAAGTATTGGATGACTTACTACTGCGTCAAAGTGTGGATGGCGTTAATACTTCTCAAACTGTATTACGGAATGTAATGCCCAAGACAAAAACTGAACGCAATGAATACGAATCACCTGGACATATTGGGAGTCTAGGAGGTATTCATCCGTATGACAAAGCCCCAAAAATTCCCCCATCTCAAGCCAAAAAAGAATTGGAAAGAAATTTAGTCTACACCCTTCACAAGCCGAGGCGTCGCCGAGGAGAGTTTGCACCTGTGGTAGTCTTTGGCATTGACGAGCAATGGGTGGCCGATTTGATCGAAGTGCAGACGATTGCAAAAGAAAATAAAGGCAACCGCTACATTTTGATCGTGGTCGATGCCTTTTCCAAATATGCGTGGGCGGAACCCCCTAAAAAAAAAAAGCGAGGAAAGAGGTGACCGTTGCGTGTACCAAAATCGTAAAACAAGGCAGGAAACCCCAGAAATTACAAACGGATGCCGGGAAAGAATTTTACAACAAAACCTTTCAAGCCTGGCTAACCGCGTAAGGCATTTACCATTTTTCCATGCACGGAGATGCTAAAGCGAGTATCGCCGAACGATTCATTCTCACCTTACAATCTAAACTGTATCACTATTCCACTGCTGCCAATACATTGAAATATACCGATGTCTTGCCCAAATTACTCTATCAATATAATCACACCTTTCATCGCAGCATACACACGGCGCTCGACAAAGTCAACGAAATGAGTAAATCCCAAGTCTGGGATTCGTTGTACGGTACTTTGAGACCACCCAAGAAACCTCTATTTAAAGTCGGCAATAAAGTGCGGCTCATTAAGAAATTTCGAACGTTTAAAAAGAGTTATTTACCGGGTTGGACAGAAGAAGCATTTGAAATTCGTAAAGTTGTTCCTGGGAAAGTCATCACCTACAAAGTGCGAGAATTGGACGAGACGCCTTTACAAGGAAGTTTCTATTCGTGGGATTTACAAAAAGTACAAGTGGATGCAGCGACGTATTTTCGAGTGGAGAAAGTATTAAAACGGGCGAAAAATAAATTATTCGTCAAGTGGAAAGGGTATCCTAGTAAATATAACAGCTGGATTTACAAAAAAGATTTAAAGTAATTGGTGACATCATGAGAAGTAGATCTTTGCGGAGATTTCAAGTGTACGTTCCTGGAGACCCCAAAGGGGGTGCCATTCATCGATGGCCGGCACGTCCCCCGCCTTTCATAGGGAGTTGGGCTGGAAGGTATCCGGAATTTCAACACAGGGAACGAGTAAAGAGATATGATGAGGTATAATAGGTTTTTGGAAGCCACTGGATGCCTGTATAGAAAAGGTGTAAACATGATTCGAGCTGCCGGTTGGGGTTACGGAAAGAGTTGTACCCTGTTTGCCTGGTTGAACGTAGCCAAAGAAAGACACGACGATCCTATCTTACTCCCTAAAGAAGCAGGGTTTATTAACATCCAACTGAAATGTGTAAATCAAACAGCGCAGAGAACCATTGTGATTTACAGCGAATACGAAAGCATGTTGGAGATCGATGGGTTTAAAGGAGGTGTAAGCATGGATGTGAATAAGAAGGTTATAGAGTTTGTGCGGTTATCTACGGATCAGTTAAACGCCTTGGGGATGCGTGACCCATCCTGAAACGGTACTATGTCGGAGCATTTGCCTGTGACGAATTACTTGTCCCCCACCTTCTAGGGATACCACAAGCCTACATCGTGAATACTCACCCCGGTCATAAACCCGGAGAGCATTGGATGGCCGTCTGGACCTACGATGATTCTTGTGAACTTTTAGATAGTTACGGTTTACATTTACATACCTAACAATATCTCGCTCCGTTTATAGTGTGGTTAAACCAATGAGAACACATTCGTAAAAACGATCGCGTCTTATAGTTGATCAAAACGGCCAGTTGCGGTGATTATGCAATGGTGTATTTGATGTGTAAAGCGTGAGGTCAGAGCATAAATGATTTTTAAAGTTATTTTACCGAATCGGATTATGTGCAGAACGATCATATCGTAGGCAGCATGTTAGAGGACATGATTCATGAGTTAATAAAATAATGCGATTACATGCGAGTATCATTTCTGAGTATGAGGGAGACATGGCAACATCCTGTTTAGAGGAGGGGTTTTTCCATTAAATGTCCGGTCAATCTATTAATAGTAGGCCCCATCAGTTGCGGTAAAACCACGTTTCTAAAACGAATGTTGTTAGAAAATCCGGAGGTATTTTCCGTACCTCCGCAACGCATTCGTTATTGCTTCGGATCGTGGCAACCGAATTTCGATGTCACGCAAGCGCAAGGATTCGAATTTTACGAAGGAGTTCCCGACGACGAAAAGATTAAAGAATGGTTTGGTGATACGAAGGGAGGACTGTTAGTACTGGATGATTTGATGGCTGAAGATGGAAATGATAAAGACATTCTCAACTTGTTTACCCGATATTCGCATCATTTAAACCTGATCGTGTGTTACCTCTGTCAAGATATGTTTCCAGCGGGAAAATATGCCAAAACCATCTCTAGAAATGTGCATTACATCATTGCGTTTAAGAACCCCGCGATCAAATCGGATTAGGGAATTTACTCTTACAGATGTATCCTACCAAATGGCAAGAGGTGATGGGTGCATATAACGAATGCACGGAAAGACCGTATGGTTATTTGTGTTTTGATGTACACGCGGCCAGTCGCGATTCTATGAGACTGGTGAGTCACCCGTTAAAACACGAAGGTTGTATGAGGTGTTACAGACATGCGCAAACGTCTTAAAAGAAAAAGAAAGAGACAACGCGGAGGATTTTTAGGGTTTCGAGGGAGCGATTTGTATAAAAACGTCATCAATACTCAGGCTTTGAGCAAAGAGTTGGCGAGACGCATGATAAAGAGACTACATCGTCTGCGTAAAACGAGATAAATAATTATGAAGTCGAGAAAACGACGCGTTGTGTCGGTGAGAGGTAAAGCGAAAAGACCTAAGAAGCGAAAAAGAAGGGTACGAAAAGGAGGATTTTAGCGTTGTTGACGGCTTTAATTTCGGCCATTATAAAAGCCACGACGTAAATGGCCAGAGGCAGTAAACGCACGCTAAGAAGAGGACGAAGGACGAAAAAGAGGGGAAGAAAGCGGGAGCTGAAAGGCGGGATATTACCTTTAGCAGCACTCATCCCTACGCTCATCGCAGGAGGAATGAATGAATGAATGAATGAATGAATGACTTTATTAACGTGTCAATCGTTCTAGTTTTTACAAGTAAAAACTAATTGGGGACACCTACTACTTAGAATAAACTAATAATTATAATAATAATGAGAAGAAAAACTATTTACAAACAATATAAAATTGAGAGAATTAAGTTTTACATAACTCACATTTTCACAATTATTTTTCGATATAACATTTGATAGGTCAAGGACTCTGACTTGATTTTTAGATGCAGTTAGAGAGCCAGCCATTTTGATTGATTTGTGGAGCTTCGACCAAATATAAGGTCCTATGTACCTTAAGCTATGTCTTCCGTATGTAACCGTATTGTATCTTGGTAAGGAGAAATCGTCTGCATTCGTAAGATTGTACCTAATAATGCCGCAACCAAAAAGTTCAGAAATATATGGTGGGACTAAATTAGTCTTAACTTTATACATAAATATAGCCATGTCCTGGAGTCTGCGATTACATAACGTTGGAAGTCTTGCTTTATCTAGAAGTGCTTCATAAGTGCTAGCCCTGTCACAGTAAATAGCCCTCATTGCACGCTCCTGCATCCTTTCAAGCTTTCTCTTGTCTGACGAGCGACAATGGTGCCATACCATATGACAATATGTAACTTGGGGTTAAATAAAAGCTCTAAAAATTCTTAATTTAGCTTCAGTAGGCATTAAATTCCTAGACCTCATAAGTACTCCTACTTTCCTTGCCCCCTTAGTACAGACATTATTGATATGCTTAGTAAAGTTCAAATCATCATCAATTGCCACTCCCAAAAGATCAATCCCGGAACTTGATTTTATGTTAATGTTCTTTATATTTAGGTTCATTCTCTTTTTCTTGTGTCTTGGTCCTAGACTCATAGCTTGAAATGTATCTTGGTTACACTTAAGTAGGTTTTTTTGATACTATTCAGAGGTACGGGTTCCTTCATCGTTCAGGATTGTTTCTACATCCTCACTCTTCTCTCCAGCAGAGTACACTTGATGGTCATTGTGGGATTAGCCCTTAATCCTCTTACCTACCAACCGCGCTCGACTTATAAATATCCTGATGTGATTATGCAACAGTTCAGTTGACCTCAGGCCTTGCTCTTGTAAGCTCCTCTGCCCATTAAATATATAGCTTTAAATATATACTTGGCCTCCACTCTTTCTTTCGCCTCCGATAATCGCACAGTCATCAGCGTACATAGCAAGCCTACCCTCATGAATATTCTGGACAAGATCGTTTTGGAATATGTTCCAAAGCAGTGGTCCTAGGTTTGGCCCTTGTGGACAGCCTCTGCCTGTCTCTCTCCATTCACTAAAATCCCCTGATCTCATCCACACGCTGTTTTTTCTTTCTGTGAAGTAGCATCTCATCATGTCTATCGCACTTTCCGAGAAACCATAGGCCCACAATTTTAACAATAATGGCGGATGAAGTGAATCAAATTGCTTTCGAAAGGTCTGTCGACAATATTCCGATCACGTGTTTGTTGTCCAGTGTCTATTTCCAATCTTCTAGTACCTAAACTAAGGTGGTCTCACAGCTTTTTTTCTTACGATAAGCTGTCAGGTTTCTGTTAAGACGAGGCTCCATGAAAATCGTTAGCTGTTTACCTAGTAACTATTCGGAGACTTTGCCCACTGTACTAAGTACTGTCACCGGTCTGTAGTTTCTAACGTCCCTCGGATTGTCCTTTTTATAAACCGGGACCCACCCCCCTCTCTTCCATTCCACGGGCCAGTAATTTGCATCAATGCAAATATTAAAGATCTTAGTTAAGGATGGCACCAAGGCACCACCAACTAGTTTGAGAACTTTATTAGACAGCCCATCATGACCGTAGCTCTTGTTCACGTTCAAGTTTGCAAAGGCTGACTGCAATTCGGTTTGACTGACTTTACTGAAGCTAAATTTGGGTACATTCACAATTCTCACACTGTCGCGTATGTCTTGAGCACTCTTTAAGTCACGTAATTGTTCCTCAGTTAATGTCAGCAACCCAGAGTCACCGATACCCTGTGCTATCCCTGTAAAGTATTCAACAAAGCAATCAGCGACCATTGTTTGATCCTTTATGTCACTGCCACGATTTTCCAGAATTATCGCAGTGTCATCAACCTCTTGAGTTTTGGAGTCCAGGAAAGCCTTGAAAACTTTATAAAACTCCCATCGATTGTGATTCATCTCTTCTGTCTTAGATTTCCAGTACTGCTTTAATGATCTTCTCCTAAGGTTCGTAGCAACGTTCCTCCATTTCTTGTTCAATTGTAGATTCTCGTCTGTTGGATTCTTCGCAAACATCTTAGAGTATTTTCTCTTCTTTCTAACTGCAGCCTTCCACTGATCTGTCATATCGGGAACATCCTTCGATCTAACTCTTTTTTTCCTCAAAGGGATATGCTCTTGTAAGAAGCCGTTTAAAAGTGCTTCCAATAAAAATTCTGATCGTTGATGGAGTCAAATATCTCGCCGACATGTCATGGGGCGGAACTTATATCTTGCAACAGCATAGCTTCATCGATACTTTTGTTACTTCTAACAGTGGTGACTCTACCTGAGTGATGAATAGCTCTCTCTCTCATAATTCCATAAACCATTGCATGATCACTTACACCAGGATCGTAAACATTGGCTATTCTGAACAGTTCAGGTTTATTTGTCATCATAACGTCTAACAATGTTTGACTTGTTTTGGTCACTCTTGTCGGCTTCTTTATTAGACCCTCCAAGTTGTGTATTTGCTCCAGGTCACATAGGATCTTCCTTTCCTTTTCATCTGGTTTAAGCCTATCCATATTCAAATCACCAGTGACTACAATCAACTGCCTTTGTAAGGATGCCCAAGAGACCAGATTATTCAAATCACTCTCTAATCTGTTATAATGATCCTTTCCTACCGCCATCGGGGGTCGATATATGCCCAAAACAATAGCGTCATGTCTTCCAAATCTTGATTCCAGGGCTAATGCCTCGAAGATGGTAAAATTTCTCGGCAGCTTTAGCTTCTTAGATGAGAGACCCGATGAGACATACGCCATCACACTACCGCCTCCTTTCACACGATCCTTGCGGTGTATATTATAACCATCGATCTTAAATTGTTTGTTTGTATATGAGGAATCAATTTTTGTTTCCGATAAGAAAATGACCTGTGCCTTGAAATCGCTTATCAATAGTTTCAACTCTTCGAATTTGTTTTGCAAGCTGTCAATATTTAGATGCATAATAAGTAGTTCTCGCCCGTCCCTTTGCCTACTATCAACGATCCGTAACGATGAATTCAAAGGGCCATCATTTGCATATTCGTCTTGGTTAACAATGGCTTCTTCGATTGCAAATCCATCCATCTCTTCAAAACATGACTCACTCAATGGCGGTAAAGAGCACAAGGGACTAATCCAATCGATTTTTGTTCGATCCCGAAGGTGCTTGAGAGCAGAGCTTGATATATGGGGGCATTTAGCGTGAATCCAAAAACTACAGTTGTAACACAGAACCGCGTTCTGGTTCTTCCTAACGCTTTTCCCGCATTCTTTGCAAGGAAACTTTGTTGGCCCAAGGTTTAGGTGAATATCTCCACTCAGCACCAGTCGCTGGATGTTAAACCAGCTGAGTCCGTCGGTAGAATGTAGCACTCTACACGATAAAAACGACTTTCCTCCGCCGTAAGGAAAAGCCTTAGGGTTAGGAGCATTGAGGGGTGCAGCTGGATTTGGGGCTAAAAAAGCTTTGGAAGCGGCTACTAAAAAGCGACGATGAATCGTATGAAAAAAATATCGATTTTTTAAAATTAATCTTACGCGAAAAAATGCGAACCTCCGAAAGGAAAAAATATAACATGCCAGTAAAGATCAAATCAGTAACGTGAGCGAATTAGTGTTGAACATGCTGAAACGAAGGATAGCGCTACCGCCTCAGACGGTGGCAAAATTGAGAAAGTATAGCGGCGGGTTGCACGAAGTGGGTAGACGCGTCAACTCTTTAAAAAAACGGAGACAGGTGCTCGCCTCTCAGACGGGTGGTGGCTTTTGGCGAGGAATGAACGAAGTGTTCTGTCACTGTCCCTTAAAATGAACGAACCCAAGATAGAGGTAGAAGAGAATAAAGATCAAGTAGACGCAGGTATTACCTTTCATATCGAGTTTGACGAGAGTGGTGAAAACAGCAGCAGCACGGGGTCTTCTTGGTTACGTTGGATAAGCGAACACATTTTGATACCGTTACTTAAACTATGGAGAATAAACTGATCGTGAACCTGCAAGAATTTCAAGCGCTTGTGGATTTTTATAAGGGGAAAGTATCAGAAAGTACCCTGCTTATCAGAAAGTACCCTGATAAAGCCGCACGAGTCACAGCCGAGACTCAGATGTTACTGAGCGATGCACACACGCAGGCAGGCTTGAAAGAACCGACGATGAAACAATTATTAATGCAAGAACGACAATTAAACGATCGATTGAGAAAATTACCCACAGGCGCAGGACCTGAGACGAGTGAAGGCGGAGATCAGGGTAATCTATTATATTCTGTGAAAGAGAATCTGCTTAAAGATTTGATTCGTTCCGTCGAAACAGTCAAAGAACCTGTCGCAGTAGTAGAAGAGGCATTCGCCACACCTTCAACTTCCAAGAAAAAGAAAGTAAAAAGAAGGTCTTTTACACCCAAGAAACTATTTTCTACACCGCGAACCAGTACCCCTAAACCCATCAAGTTTCCTTTTACTCTGAGAAGTCTCAAAGACCTACCTTCTACACCCATTCTTACGGGCAAACGGTTGAAAACCAGCCGAGCGCACCGAAGGGTAAAGGCAAAGGCAAAGGGAAGGGGAAGGGCAAGAAGTAAAAGAAGAAGGCAGTCTGGAGGAAAAGTCGATCTTCAAAAATGGATTAATAAACTGGGTATAGAGTTTCATTGGCCCGGCTATCAGTATATGGGGCCTGGTACCAAATTAGCCATGCGTATTAAACGCGTGGATCCGGGTATCAATCGTCTCGACAAGTTAGCTAAACAGCAAGATATCGATCATAGTAAAGCTAAAAATCTAGCCGATAAACACAAGGCCGATCGCAAAATGATTACCGGTATTCAACGAATCGGTAAAAACACGATGACCGAACGCATTGTAAAACGCATCATGCAAGCTAAAGTAAAAGCTGGATTGTAATTAAAAGAAATAAAGCGTGTTGAAAAGGTATCATTTTTGTGTGTCTTTATTGGAGTGACGATGGAAGACTTTTATTTGACCCTTCCGAGTAACGATTGAAGCATCAAATATTTTCCCGGAAACACCAACAATTCTTGGAAAAATCAACTGAATTCGCGCTTCGATTTACAGGGGGACTGGGTAGTGGAATTATCGAGTATGTCCTTACCTCACGAAACCACGAACAAGAACCTTTGGGACCCCTATTTGAAAGGATTAAGCGACGACGATGTGCTACTCAACACCAGTCGCTTAGAAATAAACCCACAAAAGGTCTTTAAAACAGTCACGTTTTCTATCACCTATGGTGACATCCAAAAGTATACATTAAATACCTCCTATGATCTATTAGAAGCCGCCTTTCAGGAAGAACGAATGCAATTTATATTGAGTATGGGGGCCACCTGGGGAAGTCATTTTTCGAATGAAAAAACACTGCAATTCGACGTTTATTGCGATCGATAGAAAGGAACCGTCACAGTGTCCGGTGAGCGCATAGATCCGGCCCTTGTAAGAGATTCTCGCATCCCTGATGACGTATATTTAGAGTTACCCAAACATCTCTGCGAGTAGGCTGGATGGACGGAAACAACGCGTATCCTATACACCGACCAGCGTGGGAAGACAGAAGATAATTATAATGTGGCACGCCCTCGTCCTAATCTCTCTATGACGAAACGCGGTACACGGTGGAGTTACGATAGATCGCTCGATAATCTCAATCTCACATATTATTGGTACGACATTGGTACGACATTCCCTGGAAAGATAAAACGACAAGTGACACGCATCGATTTTTACTGAGTGATATCATCTGGACATTTAAATACATCGTTCCCCATACACCCACCGCGACTCCCAGTTCACGCAATCTTTACGTGTATTCCTCCTTGTGCGCCTCAGTGATCATGGGCGATCAATCCACCGATTTATTACGTCAGATTCCTTACCAGGAAAGAATGCAAGGAACGTCTTATTTCGAACCGAAACACATTTACTACATCCCCTTATGAAATAATAATTTCGACGTCATCAAAACGCAAGTGAGCGAATCGACGAAAAACATTCTCGCCGAGTTACCCGAAAAAGGCCCTAGCATATTGACTCTGCATTTTAGAAGAGTTAAATAAAGGCACTCCACCGGACACGCCATTCATTTGTCTCAGCGCTACACTATGAGGAACTTTTACTTGACGATACCGAGTAATGATGGAAGCATCAAATATATTTCCGGAAACTCAAACAATTCTTGGAAAAATAGGCTCAACAATCGTTTGGACTTCGAGGGGGACTTGGAAGTAGGAATGTCTAGCATTTCCTTACCACCCGAATCGCTCTTGATACCCTATCTGAAAGGATTACAAGATACCGACTTGCTGATGAGATCGTCTCGCGAAGTGCAAAACAACAAAAGATATCAAGGATACACCCATGACCACGGCGTACGATTTTCTCAAAATCCTTTTCGACAGAGAGCACGAGTTATTTTTAAATACACTCCCGCAGAACAATTCCTTGGTGTTAATCCAGGGGAAAAACAACTTCAATGGGATGCGATTTACAACGAAGAGGAAGGGACGATTGAAGTGACATCAGAAAAGGTGGAGGAGAGTGCATTTTCTTCTCGGTTGAATTTTAAATTACACTGTCATTTTGTCCTGAGGAAAGATATGTGCGATCTTTTTGGTTGGACAAAGTATAAAAATTACCAGAGTACCATCATAGCCAAACACGGACCTAATCTCGTGATGAGGAAACGAGATACTGCATTTCTTGAAGACCGTACGGATTCCTAACATTACGGGTATCGATACGGGTTATTGGAAGCCGTTTTTAAAGGAAAGGATGCGTTGTTCGTAAACTCTATGGCATTCTTTCTCGATTAGTTTACCCACACCTTGACGAATCTTAAAGAAAGCACTTATGAAAACGGTATGGCCCCTTGCACCCTTTACCTCTACTCCTCCCTGTGTGCTCTCGTGATCATGGGTGATCAGACCACCGATCTGTTGCGCACTTTTCAGTATCGCCATCTATTGAAAGGGAGTTATTACTACGAGCCGAAACACATTTATTACATCGCTATGCGAAATCAACACATCTACGAGGTGGAAACGCAACTCAGGGAATCGGAAAATAATAATCTGGC